CAAACTCTTCTAGAAGTGTTCTTTGCGAAGAATTACTAGTAGTAGTAGTAGTAGTAGTATTAATACTCATAGTAAGAGTAATACTAATGGTAATAGTACTAGTAATACGAGCACTAATAGTACAGGCGTAGGTAGGTCAGTAGGTACGTAGGTAGGTAAGTAGGTAAGTAGGTACGTAGGTAAGTAGGTAGGTAGGTAGGTAGGTAGGTTCGTAGGTAGGTAGGTAAGTCAGTCGGTAGGCAAGGTTACGTACCTTAGGGACTGCCTGGTTCCAGTACATACGTACGTACCTGCTCCCTCCAAGCGAATATAAACCTTAAGAGTATGAAGCTACGTACGTACGTCACGTAAGTAGGTCGCTAAGCAGACAGCTATGCAATCAGGTAGGCAGGTAGGCAGGTAGGTAGGTAAGTAGGTAGATAAGTAAGTAAGTCTGTAGCTAAGTAGGTGGGTGGGTCGGTCGCTAGGTAGGTCGGTAGGTAGGTAAGTAGGCAGGTAGGTAGGTAGGTAGGTAGGTAGGTAAGTAAGTAGGTAGGTAGCTAGGTAGGTAGGTAGGTAGGTAGGTAAGTAAGTAGGTAGGTAAGTAGGTAGGTAGGTAGGTAGGTAGGTAAGTGAAAGCTAAGTAGGTACTGTAGGTAAGTGCGTAGGTAGGGAAGAAGGACGGAAGAAGCAAGGGATGGAAATGGATGGAGCAACAGAAAAGAGCAGAGTGAAGGAAAGGAGGTTGGTAGAAGGACGGCAGAGACGGGGGCAAGGAAGCCGAGGCGGAAGGACGGGGTCCACTCACCAGCTGACACAGGGTGGGAAAAGTATGGTTTGGGGGTCAGAAAAAGCTGTTGGGGGTCAAAAAAGTGGAGATGCAGGGTGGAAAAAGTAGGATCAAGGGGCTGGAAAAGCGGGCAGCAGAGGTTAGAAAAATGGTTAAGCACGGGCGGAGTCCGCCGGGGTCAGATAGATAGGTTAGGGGGGTCAAAAAAATAGGGGGAGGGGGGGGGGGTCAAAAAAATATGCTAGGGGGGTGGAAAAAATAGGGGGCCCCCTGCAAAATATCTGGAGGCACCACTCAGGTCATCTGTGCTCCCCAACTGTGGTGATTGCAAGGACACTTTCCGGAAGCAACTCGGGAGGAGAGAGCCTAGCGTTTGCTTTGGAGGTCGATTTTGCCATGCTTCATACCTTTCGCATCTCGGTCTTCGCACAAACCCTGGCCCAGAAAGGGCTATCAAAACCACACCGCGCATCAGCAAACTTGAAGCCGCCTTTCGACGGTATGGACCTCTCTCTCTCTCTCTTTCTCGACGGGGAAAAGGGCACAGGGTATGGACCTCTCTCTCTCTCTCTCTCGCTACAACCAAGTTAAGGCAAGAGAAAACAACGGCACTCGCGTGCTTCCACTGGGCTTCCCCGCGGGCACACTTGCAGCGACCTTTTCCCCGAAAACCACCGAGATGTCAAAGATCCTGACCGCCCAAACACTGAAGCAGATGTTTGAAAGGAGGGTTCTTACGTGCTGAGACCGCTCGTGCTCGCTCTCTCCGTTGTACACGCACTTAGCAAGACCTGATATTCAGCTGTCCGCATGACGTAGCCTTTGCAAAGCGGATCAAAGCAGTCTCTGCCAAGCTGCGGCAGATGCCAGGCACGAGGTTGGACACTCAATCTGCCAGGTGCAAAACAGCAGAACGACCGAGCACCGGGCAGTAAAGAGTTAGGGCGAGGCAGTGAGGATGCACGACACAGACTCCACAGACTCAGACTCTCGAGATCTCCCGAGTTTCGGCGGAGGCACTGTAGCGTCAGCGGCATCTTGGCGCACTCCTTTCGGGCAGAGAGCTGGCCAATCTCGCGAGTCTGAAACTCCCAAGGGACTCTCCTCTGCCAAGGCAACGCGAAGGGCAGTCTCCGCCTGCGCAGATGCGACGGGAATCCTTTGCTGCTCTTGGGAACCCTCGTCCTCGTAGACGACTCTACTCAGACGGCGGTAGAACCAGAGGATGCCCAGCACCTGATCCGCTCTCTTTGCTCTGGGCGCATTCAGGGATCCTGGAGTCTCTGACGAGGTGGCCGGGAAAAGACCCTTCACGCCAGGCGGCGACGATGCTTGTGACCACAACGGCCAAGATGCCTTCCGCCACATAGAGGCTTACCTGGACGGCGCTTGGCTGCCGCAATGCAGGTCTCCGATTGGGGTGTGAGGCGTGACACAATTGAGATCGCTGAGGCATCGAATGCCTGCAACAATCCACTCGCAATGGAAGGACTTAAACAAGCCTCACCTACTCTCCGAGAGTGGATGGCGGAACCTGTAAACAGCACAAGCTTCCGGCCTCGTCCAGGAGGAACACATCAAGGCACACCAGTATACCAAGAATCAGCACGTTCAACAGCTGCACTCCACAAAGCCTGGGCTGGTCCGGGCTTGTTTGGGGCTCCACAAGTTGGCCCCTGAGGGTGCAACCCTGATCCGAAACTATGGGCCGGTGACATCTGAAGTGAGGCTCCATTTCAGGCCCTGTGCCCCCCAAGCAGAAATGCCAGGGGACAGGTATCCCAAAGGCCGCATGCCTCGGGCAGCTTCTGCAATGGGTAACAGCTCCTGCCGCCACTTGGCTTTGCCCGAACACGGGGAGCATCCGTCCATGTACTCTTATAGGCCCTGAAAGGCCCTAAAGCATGGAAGGGCTCTCTTAGAGCCGCCTTGAAAGCTTCTCTTAGGGTCCGGGCGGTTTCAGGTCTCGTCTTTGGGGCATCGGGCCTGTAGGGCCCCAAATGCCTGGGAGGTCTGTGGCTCCGGTCCTTGTCCACGCGCTCCTTAAGTGCCTGGTACTCGTCGGGGCTGAGCCGCTTGTCGAGAGCAGCCGGTAACCTGAAACGCCCAGGAAAAGGGGCTCGGAGGAGGCGCTCTTCCGCCCCTAAACCCACGAATCTGCCTTGTTGCCTGTTTGAAACTGGCCGAGCGTCGACTCATGCAGTCGGCGTGGAACCGTGGGACCGGAAAACCTCAGAGAGCTCTCTCCGCCGCTCCGCTTCAGGGCTCCCCAATGGAAATGAGCTCCGCTGGGTACCTCTGTAAGAACCACACGGCTACATTTAAAGGACACAAAAAGTGCCCGAGTCGGTCCGAGTCGGGGCCCGGTGGCTGGTTCTGCAGCTGCAAGGAAACGGTCGCCATGGGGCGCTCTACTCTCGGATCCTCGGCGCGGGGCTTTTTCGGCTGTGAGCCGAGACCCGCCGTTTGTCGTCTGTTCCGTCACCGAAACACCGAAGCTGCCCGGGAAATTTCGCCCTCGACCCTTTGAACTCGCCTGTGTGAAGGAATTCCGTCGGCGAAGGCCTTGCTCGTCCTTGCCGCCCTCGTCTGGGCCCTGGCGAGAGAAAGACGGCTCCCAGCTCAGAGACTGTGACCGTCACAGGTTCTCCGACGCCTGCTGCGGGGTCTTCTGCCTGGCAACAGCTCTCCCCCACCGTGCAGTTTGCCGCATCCCCCAGAACTCTCAGCTACATTGTTGCAGGTGAACCAGTCTTCCCACACACAACAAGCAGAGATAGCTGAGACTTGCCTATCCCCAACAGCTACGACAAGCTGAGCAAGCTGACCATGGCTCACCTACTACAAGCTGAGTAAAACAGGCTGAGATCTGCCCACCCATAACATACTGAGCTCAGATTTTGCCCACCCGCAAGAAGCTGAGCTGAGATTTGGGGTTCCTGCGGCTTTGAGTCTCCGAGCTCTGAAGGCAGGCCCAAGTCCCGGCGCACAAAAGCCAAAGGCTAAGCCTGGATTTCTGGTGGTTTCAGAAAATAGGGGACCCTTCACATTGCACCCTAAATAGCAGGATCCTTATTCTAAGGACCCCAAATAAGGCACCCCTTTGTTTCGGAAACCACCATAATACTAACAAATCCTCCCAAAACGCTCCGCCGGGCCTGTCACCCACAGACAGGGAAGCCTCGGAGACCTGACCCGAAAGCTGCCCCCAAGGTTTGAAGAGGGCCGTACAATCCCATGCGGCTTCACTAAAGATCATTAAAGTTAGGAGTAACTTGTTGCGGCAATTAGACTTGTAGTGAGGATTCCTGCCAAGTAGGGCTTGTTAAGTCAATGCTCGGGTCCCCTATTTTGGGGGGGAATCGAAAACATTGGAAAGATCAGCTAAGCACCTCAGCGTCTACTTCACCCGAAATGGCCCCTACCCTTTCTAGCCAACGGTCTTCTCGCAGCTGAGACGAAAGACCGCCCCAACTCCAGAAATTGGAGCACAACAGCAATGTTTGGGTTTGGCGCTCAGGAACGCGAATCCGAAAGCAAGACCTGCCAAAAGGTAAAGCATCGGTCCGATCAGGCCGAGGAACCAAAGGCACGGTGGTCGGATGCCTGGGGTCTGAGACTTTGGACTTAATGCGCTTGCTTCGGGGGCCAGAGAATCCACAGACACATCTCTTGCCTGACCCCCTACCTGTCCATATTCCTACGGGAGCCAAAGGACAACTTGGTTGGGTCGTATACGGACAGTACAAAAAAAACAAGCAAAACCTGCTCGACTAGCACAGGCCGCCACCCATGGCACGCACGGCGTTTTGGGAAATCAGAAATGCTGTAGCAGTAGCATGTGCTGGCCATGGGGAGTTCTAGTATTTTTTCTATCATGCCGACCCAAGCTGCTTGGCAAACTTCGCGAAGACCAGTGACCTTTGAAGCAGGCGCATGAGGTTGGGTGCACAAGAAGACCTGTGGGAATGTTCTAAGCTCGGGCGGCTTTGAACAGACCGGAGGAGCATGCACGAAATTCGGTCCGGATCCGTAACAAACACCAGAATCGCAAGAAGGGCTGGGATGGGCCGGGGAGCCCAAAGATCCCCACTTCTGACCCTTCTCCACCAGTTGTGGTCTACTTCCTACAAAGCCGTTGAAGCGCTGAGCACGAGGCAGCCTCTTGACGGGGCCTTGTTTCCGAGGCCCAAGCACCAAAATCCGTAGAAAACAGACACCATAAAATCTTGAGCTCGTATCCCGAAACAGGGCCCGTACTTCTGAGCCGCACTGTGGAGACCGTATGCAGCCAGGACCTGCCTGCAACCCAGCGGCACGTAGCATAAGCCATTGCTTTCTTTCAGGGCTACGGAGTTCGGGGGTTAGGGTTGAAGATAGGGGTTGAAGAGGGATGAAGGGATACTGCGCAAGTCACGGGCGCCAGCAGGTATCCTTGTGAAACAAAGGGGACCCCACAGAATGGAGTCTCTGGAACTAGTTTGGACTAACACTCGGCTCGGACCCATCGAAAGATCGCGACGTTAGTACTCTCAGGCCCGGACACTCGGAAGGCAAGTGCAGTAGCATTCATTGGTCTTGAGGGCACGCTTGATTTGCATGGGGATTTGGGGCACCTTTCAGACTCTTACCCCCTCGGCGCACCTGGCTGTGGACAAGACCCGCACGACCAGGTCCTCACTACATCCAAATTGGCCCCCCCCCCCCTCTTCGCAAACCCCGCAGACATGGGGAGATACTTCACCATCAGGACAAAGTCATACGTTCTGGAAGTCAGGTTCGCAGTCGTGCTGGAACCGTTCAAGGCACTGGGACGTTGCTATGAAGTTCAACTTCGATTGGCTCAAAGCCCAGACCCGACTCCACGAAGGAGCACTCCTGCAGCAGCTCGCTCTGCTGCATGGTCCGCAGGGCATCTGGGTCCAGAACGCCTGCTCAGGTAGACTGGTCATGACTGCCCTGTGGCCCGGACACTCGTCCCTCTGTGAGTTCTTGACAAGTCTACAGGCAGCAACGGTTACGCGTCCGCGCCTCGGCAGTGAGACCAGAAGGGCCGTGGCGTGAGCGGTCTCGCCTGTCCGGCGCGTCTGCGCGCGCTGCAGATGCGACTGAAAAATGAAAGACTGCCGTCACAAAGCAACTTGAATGGGTTTTTCCTCCAATACTACACCAGAACGCTAGAGGCAGGAACTGCCCTGAATCTTCGCTTGCTGATCTTCGGGCCAACCCTGCAAACAGAGTTGAGGTGTTGTAGAGTCCACGCCTCAGGGCCTTTTTTGGCATAAACACCTTTCTGATCCCTTCTGCGTTTAAACTCCTATAAACCCACACTACCCTTGACCTTCTCTCCATGCCTCTACTCCGCCAGTGTCGTGGCCGCTGACGTTCTTGTAAGCTTCCACGATGTTCTGGTAATCCTGCACGGTTTGAAGATTAGGGTACATCGTTGTATTTGACGCGCCTGGCTCGGTTTCGGGGCTTAGGGCTTGAGCATTCTATCGCTTTAGGGCTTTCAATAGGGTTCTGGGCTTACGGCGTTTGCGGTTAGGGCTTGGAAGAACTTTTCTGGGGTGCGCATCAAAGCGTGAGATCTTGGAGTCCTTCTCCTTTGCGGCATACCTCGGCAGCCAGAGTTGGTATTCAGGTGCCGCCCTGCGCTACGTGCGACGTCCAGAGCGCAACAGATGGTAGATCTACTCTTCATTGATATTTTCGGGAACTGGGAGTTCGAGGCTCGCGCCTTTCCTCCCATTCGAGACCTCAGAGCTTCATAGGCCATCACAGGACTGTGCAAGCTGTGCAAACTGGTTTTGGGGGGGGGGGGGGGGGG